ATTTTTTTTGAATCTTTTTTCAAATTCACTTGGCACCCTTCAAGTTTGAAAATCAAATTAAACAAGTGCTGAATTGCGTTCATCATAGCATACACAGTAAAAAATCCGGTGTGGACTTTCTGGGACAACGAGACTCACAGAGAGGAAAATATAATTCTTCTGACAATATTCCATCACCATCGAACTATAGTCAAAAAGTCCTCAATAATTTTGCATGGGTTACGGTAACTATGGCCGGAGAAGTGATTACTACAATAGAATCTAGTCATTGCAACTATTTTATAGTTTTACTCGCGATAGATTTGTCGTGGTTACTTTTGAATTTCGGTTATTTTAACTGCATTTTGATTTGCAAAAATTACGCTTGTGAAGGTACTATAATCTTATGTGCCACATCAAAAAAAAAATCGTATCGTTCACCAAAACTGCCTCAACTATTTTCTTATTGTAAATCGAATTCCTATCTTACATCCTATTTTACATCAAGCCTTACTACTGTTTAGTGTTACCCAGGGTTTGCGACAGAAACGCAGCTGTTATAAACGCAAAAAAATCCAAATATATTTTTAGTCAGAAATAGACATTGATTGACATTATTATCAGGATGAAACCTTCTGGAATCGAAAAATCAGGTCATCAGATGCGTTACAACGTCATTACCTCTCCACAATCACCGCAATCAGTATTTTTTCAACTCAAGTGGTAAACTTATCAGCTCAATAAATCAGTAATCGACTTAAAATTCCACTCTCGAGAAATTATTCTCCCACGAACGAGTCGACACATAATCGATCCAAGGTCATCTTCACTTCAGAATTAATCACCAGCATTTCAGAGCAAACACAGTTCGCCGAGGCGTGCATCGATATCTCCCGTTCCGCCGTTATCTCTAAGCTGACCCGCTGGTCTGCAATAGGATTAACTGAACTAGTTCAATTTTCACGATGTTCCCCACCTCGAAAGATCGATGCGGGATATCGCCTTCGGAAGCGCTTGATGCCAGACATCCGGATATTCCAAGCTAGCACACATCCTGACCAAGTCTGGCAAGACGTGATGGACTCTTGTACATTACAATCTTCCCCCAACCTCAAATCCTGTAGCCATTGAACCAGGCTATCCCAGTTGGTGCAAAATCCCCCACGGGAGTGCACAGATTGAATTAGCAAGGTTGCCACCGGTGGTGATGGCCGCTTGGAGGCCCTCAACCACTTCTAATCCTCATGATCTGACAACATCGCTTGACCCCACACACCCCTCCCTCGATCGTCCTGCGATCAGACTCTTGTAAAATGTCAAATCCATTGGTGTTGGTGAAGGGAATGAGCGGAGAGCAGAATTAATTTACCCCGGCGTCATGATTTATGGTGGTGTTACTAGTTCTGAACAGAGGGGGAGATGTACCCAGTGTATACTTTACGTTACCTTCAGCTTGTGCGTTAAACGAGGCTCTTATGAAAACCACCACAAAATACACGTACACAAACAAGGGTTACCCCGTAATCTCAGATGATTATGGTTATGAACTCTGGCTGAAAGATACGACCGAGTCATCCTCATCCTCCACCTCCTGATCCTCATCTTGTAAACGGGAAAAGCCCCGGAGGTATATGAAGCCCGTGCCGGCTCTTCGGGCTTGGAAGGTACTATCGTCAGATCGTAAATGGCATGAGGATATAACTGCCGGAGGAGGTAGATATATAACAAGCACCCGAGTGATTAACGCAAAGGCCCTCTTCCTTCAACTCTTCCTATAACTCTCGTTATAATTCCTCCCCCCCCCCCCCCCCCCCCCCCCCCCC